GCGACGAAAACAAAAAAATTTCAAACCACACGAAAGAATCGATATACTCACGAAACTATGAGCCAAATATAGTAAAACTGCGATTTTAGTTTTTCACGCTAACGTCAGGACTTTTTGCAAGTCTTGGTTTCTGGTGATATTGAAGGCGATGGTGATGCTATGCGGCGCCAGCATAACAATTTAAGCGATCTTAGCTTTCGATGTATGATATTTAATTATCATTCTATGAACATTTTCCATAATTGCGTAAATTTTTTTCACAAAATACCACTTATTTGCGCCTTATTTGATTTAATTTCATTCAACTAATTCAATTTCATGAAATGACACATAAAATTGCCTTCATTTCTAAGTAGCACTTAAGCTCGGAACACTTTGACGACAGCAAGCGACAAGCAGCATCTGTCAAATTTTAAATACACACGTTCTTACGGACACAATTATTTTGACGACAGCACGACATCTTGGCTGCAGGACTGCAATTGTCGACGTCGCCAAATTAAATCTATTTCTAATTTTGCCGGCGACAATGAGTAGATGTAGTGCTGCAAAATTAAACTCTCGCAAAATTAATCACATATTCTTGATTGTTCATGTTTTTCTTATTTACTTAAATAAAAATACACAATTTGTGAAATAAATATACCAAAATGTCAAACTTTAAAATCAGCTGTTTGCTATGTCGCTGAGGTCTTTAAAATGTTTAAGAAGCTGGCTTCAAGGCGACATTTGTCGACAAAATGATGTCGCTGTCGTTACGTCGTGAAGTTGCAGTCGTCAAAGTGTTCCGAGCTTTAATGATAAAATAACCCCGCACAACGGCAACCGGCAACACGAGCTGGCTTCACATTCACATTACACAAATATCACATGACCGGCTTTTTTTTTATTAATTTGTGATCGTTTTTTTGCATATTTATGTCGGAGGTGACAAAGTCATCAGCTGCATATAAATAAAATTTAGGAAGTGTGACTACACTCAGCAAACGCAAATAAATAAGCATACTATACTAACATACCGATAAGTGAACCAATTTCGACGATATTTTCCAATTCACCACTAAACATCAAGATCAGGGAAGATGTAAATATGTACATTAGACTGCATCACTCCCCATACAAAAAAAAAGTCGGTACTGTTTTTCCATTGGAAGTATAAAATCAATTATATGTATTTGAAGACTTGGACCGATTTGAAAATACCTCCAAAAATGGAGTATTTTATGAATAAAAATAGTTTCTTAAAGGATTTTTTGAAAAAA